ACGCGTAATCTCGTTTAATTCTCACAAGAGACGCAGAGAGGTGACGTGACTCATCAGGTGACATGACTCACCAGGTCACCTGGCTGGTAAGGGATGGAACTGGGTTGTGCATAGAGGCCTATCTGTGTCCACAGGCAGGCTCCCAGCCACCACCCTCCAGTTCCGTGGCCCTGCTCTGGGACGTGGGAAGATAAGAAAGAAGGAGGGTGAGTCGGCATGGTTGTGGAGAGATTACATTTTCAGGAAATGAGAGCTCAGAACAAGGCCTGGCCTAAACATGGCTGCAGGAGTGGCAAGAGATAGGATCAGAGGGAGGATGGCCTCAGAGAGTGTGGGGAAGAACTTGTGCCCAGAAGAGTCAGGGCAGGACTGGCTGGGCCCTGACGTAAGGCCTCTTGCTCAGAGTCACAGGCAAGATCAAGTGACCTCTCGAGGTTTCAAGACACGAAGAGACAAAGCCCAGAGCAGCTGGGGCCTGGCCCAGGCCCGGGCATGCCTGCTGACCCCGCCTGGATGGTGGCCTTGGAAACTGCTTCCTGCTCTGGTCAGGCCCCAGCTGGAGTAACCTTGGAGGACCTGTGACATTTCTCTTGGCCTCAGGTCAGGCCTGAGAGGGGGTAGGGAGGGGAGAGGGACTCCAGATTCCTGAACACCTTGGAGGGCCCTTCGTACCCTCCCACCCCTGTCCCCAGTGTCTGACAGGGTCGATCTTTAGCCCACAGGGCCCAACGTGGAGCCAGTCTGTCTGGCTCTACTTTCCATCTAGAGGCCTGGAGAAGATGTCTGCACAGGCCCAAGGCCCCTTCCTTGCTTGACCCGTTCTGTTCCCTGTCCCATCAGCCACAGCTCTCAGATCAGTCAGGCCCCACATTCCCCATTCTGTCTCCTCGGAGCTTTTATCTTCTAATTCACATTGGGATGTGACCTGCCTTTGCCCACAGCTCCCTCTGCCCAGAATGCCCTTCTCACGGTCTCCATGTGTCCAAACGTTGCCTATTCTTCAAGGTTGAGCTCAAGTGCAGCTTCTTCCACAGAACCTCAAAATCCATTTAAGATATCAGACCCAGCAAGAGCTGTGGGGACTGGGCCAGGCGCAGTGGCTCATACCTATAATCCCAGCACTTTGGGAGGCCGAGGCAGGTGGATCACGAGGTCAGGAGTTCGAGACCAGCCTGACCAACATGGTGAAACCCTGTCTCTACTAAAAAATACAAACAAATTAGCTGGGCGCAGGGCGCACCCCCATAATCCCAGCTACAGGAGGCTGAGGCAGGATCGCTTGAACCCAGGAGGCAGAGGTTGCAGTGAGCTGAGATCGTGCCATTGCATTCCAGCCTGAGCGATACAGCGAGACTCCATCTCAAATAAATAAATAAATAAATACATAAGTTGTAGGGATTGTTCAACCCAATCTGTCCTTTTGCAGATGGGGAATCAGGCATGGGGAGATGACAGGCAGCCATACGGCAGAGTACCCAGGCTCAGGAGGGACAGTACTGGGTTCTAATCTTGGGTCCACTATTTGCTAATGGATCCCCTGGGCAAGGTTCAGAGCTGCACCCATTTCCTCAACTCTCTCTAATGTGGGATAGGGCGGGAGGCAGGGGGTTGTGGTGGGGACACACACCCCACCTCACAGTCTGCTGTGAAGGGTCAGGGAGGCAGCGTTACATAAACAGCCCAGCACAAGTGTCCCTTTTCTCATCAAGGGAGCAGAGGGCTGACTTCTGACTACAACACCCAGCTGCCCAGTGCAAATCTTTGTTTCTCACTGCCTCTGGGCACCTGCCACTCTCTACCAGGTGTTTTCAGGTTCTTTTTTTTTTTTTTTTGACGGAGTCTCGCTCTGTCACCCAGGCTGGAGTGCAGTGGCCGGATCTCAGCTCACTGCAAGCTCCGCCTCCTGGGTTCATGCCACTCTCCTGCCTCAGCCTCCCGAGTAGCTGGGACTATAGGCGCCCACCACCTCGCCCGGCTAGTTTTTTGTATTTTTTAGTAGAGACGGGGTTTCACCGTGTTAGCCAGGATGGTCTCGATCTCCTGACCTCGTGATCCGCCCGTCTCGGCCTCCCAAAGTGCTGGGATTACAGGCTTGAGACACCGCGCCCGGCCCAGGTGTTTTCAGGTTCTTTGTGTACTTGTTTTAGTTTCCTGGGGTGGAGGCTGAACTGGAGGACAGGGGCCATGTCTGCTTTGTCTCCCCAGTACCCAGTACTGGATGGACACATAGGGGCTCAAGTTGGGAAACTAAGCTCAGTTACTGCTTCTCCAGGGCCTGGCGTCAAAACCGCTCACTGCTATTGGTGAATGAGTGTGTCCCTGTCCTCTCTGCTTAAGCCCTCTGTTGAAAGTGGCAACTCCCTGTATGAACTCTTTTTCCTTACCACTCTCTTTCTCTGTATCTCCAACTCTTTCTCATTCCCATGGTGATTTTGATCATCCCCTGGCACTGGGGGGTTGCCCTAGAGCCTGTGTGCCATCTTAGAGAAAGGGGGCAGCCCTCCCACCACCTTGGTCTGGGCCACCATCACTGTGTGTGTGGACTTCTGCAGTTGGTCTCCCTGCTTCAACACTAGCCCCGCTCCATGGTGACTCGGGGAATTCCGGCAGGGAACTCTTCAGTGGATCCCAGTGTGTCTGGGAATGAAGTTCAGACGCCTTCCAATGCCCCACGTGATCTGGACTTGCCTGCCTCATCCCCTCACTTAGCTTTACTGCCTTCCCACAGGCAGTTTCTCAAAGCTGAGCCCCTTCCTGCCTCTAGGCTTTCCACACTGCTGTTCCCTCTGCCCAGAATGTTCTTCCCATTCCCCACCAGTTGTCCAGCCCCATCATTCCTCAAGCCTCAGCTTCAAGGTCTGGTCAGCATGCTGTGTGTGCTGACAAGCTTCTAGCTTTTTTCTCTTACACAGTGCTTCCCACAGCTGGAATCATCCACGCTTAATGCCACTGTTTGCTGTCCTTCCCTCTAAATGGGAAGCCCCCTGAGGACCAGTACCTCATTTGTGGTGTTCACTGTGGTGCCCCCAATGCCTGGCTTCTAGTGGGTGCTGGACAGATGTCTCTAGAACAATGGAATGCATTGGTTTGAGGACAGCGCAGTTAACTCCCAGCCCTGAGTGGGGAGCAGGGCCAGAATGTGGGGCTGGATGGCATCCCAGTTCCTCCTGTGTTCAGGCCTCACTGGGTGGTTCCATTATGTATTTCACTGAGCTGTGACCTGCCCAAACACCCAGCCCCCACACCCATCCATTTTCCCACCCAGAGCCTGGGAGGAACGGTTTTTGGATTATTTCACATTTCTGGATTATCCATGAGACATCTCCCCTCCAGTGAGAAGGATCAACAGTTTGACATTTTAAACCCTAAGCAGCTTCTCCCTGGCCTGCTTCAGATCTGAGGTTCTGCTGCTTGCAATGAGATGCATGGGGAATGGAAGGCCGTTTTAATCTTGGCCTGGCTTCATTAGGAAGGAAAAGATACTGCCAAAAAAAAAAAAAAAAGTTTGCTTCATTGTCTCTGCCATACAGAGCTGTGAGCCTAAGTGATTATCAAAGTAAATTTCTTTGAAAAGATAGGGAAACTGAGGCACAGAGCGGGACAAAAGCTTGGTCAAGGGCATGTGGCAAGTTGGTGGCCAATCTGGGAATGATCCTCCCCGAGGCCTCCTGACTCCCGCATGTTGCCCTTTGTTACCTTCAGGCACCAGGGGAGCTGGGGTCTGGCAGAGAGCGGGCAACAAGTTTCCACTGACATGACTTCAGGACCCTGAGTCACCCCGGCCTTGAATGGCCTCCCATTCAAGAGCACGGATGGGACTTTCCAGGAGCCCAGCTACTCCTCCAGGAAGAGAAGCTCCCAGGAAGCTTCAGTGGCAGCAAAGGTGAAAGGTGAGGGGCGCAGGCATGCCCCCAGCCTGCCCTGCCACCAACCAACACATCTGGGACAATTTTGTGACAGATCTGTTGTCCAAAAGCGGGGCCAGTGGCGGCTGTATTTCTGGAGCAGGCTGTTCTTCAAGAAGATGGCTCCTTCTACCTTGTTCTCTTTGATCATTTTGGGGGCATTTTTCTGTCTTTTATTTTCCTTTTTTAAAACACCAAATCTTGAGAATACTAAAACTGACTCCAACTAATGAGGTCACAGTACCTGATAAAAACAGTATCGAAACATTTAACACTCTTTAACTGAACTCTCAGAAAAGCCTTTGGCTTCAGGAAAGGTACTGGCTTTTCTAGGGTCAAAATACCTTGCCTGAAGATAGTCTCACTGGTTGCAGGTTTGCAGGGACAGTGGGATCCCAGCACCCCTTCTCCACTTCTGGGTCCCTACCCCATATGCTCCTGGCCACACCTAGCCTATCTCAGGCCAAAGATGTTGGAAAATAGCCTTTGGGGGTACCTTGAGAGGCCAAGGGAACACACTTTGGGCCATCCTGTGAAGCCCTCGCAGACTGTGTGACCATGCCATACTGGCCACTCTTGGCCTGGCCCTCACCAGGCTGCCTCTTAGAATCGATGAAGTTCCCAGGGAAATGGGGGTGCCAGCACGGCTGGTGCTCTGGATAGGCCCTGGGTAGACAACCATCCAACCTGCTCCTCCCTTCACCTGTCTCACACAGGGCAATGCAAATGCCTGCATTTGTATTTCCTGGGAAATACTTACTTCCTACCCAAGACATAGCATGAACAAAGAATTGAAAGCTTGATGAACCAAACTACAGGGACCCATCCAGTGTATAGTCCTCTGGCCATTTCAATTAACAAGACCCCCTGAACGTCCAAGCCCCCTGCTGAGTTCCCAGCCCAAGTACCCCATCTCCTTCTGAGGCTGTCCGCAACAGCGAATCCTCAATCCCTATGCCCTGCTGTCGGTCCCCAGCCTTGCCCTTAAATCCTGCATCTGCTTCCTGCACTCCATACTTCTGTCCTTGCCTAAGCTCTGATGTCCTCTCCCCACCCCCAGGCTTCTGCCCACTGCGCCCGCATCCCCAGACTCACCCAGGAACAAAACCTCGCGGTCCAGTCGGCACTTCAGTTGGCACTACAGGGACGTGACGGTGAATGTGTCCTCGGGGTGAGGTTCCGCCATGGGCCCCAGGAAGCCGCTCTTGGGGCCCCCACCCAGGCCAGGATGCGCCTGGGGCATAAAGCCTGGGTACCTGTAGGCGGTGTCCTGCAGGGGCAGCAGCGAGTCCCTCGGCACGGGGGACAGGGTCAAGTCACTAAGGAGTGGGCAGCCATAGCCAGCAGCAGCTGCAGCAGGGCCACGGGGTGGGCCAGGGGGCCGGGCCATTTCCAGTGGCTCCTTGTCGGCCTTGGGCGTGGCTGGTGGGCTAGCCAGGTGAGGGGCACTGAGGCACGCGGCCTCCGTCCTGCCCAGGAAGTCAGCCAGCAGCCCTGTACCCACCTTGCCTTCATAGGGCGGGCTGCGGGCAGCCGAGCCTGGAGGGTACCAATATGCTGTGCCCTTGCAGCTGGGGGAATCGTAGTGGGCCTGGCCCAGCGGCAGGTCCCGGCAGCTCAGGTGGGCCTGGGCTGCAGCTGCGTGGCCCAGGCTGGCCCCCTGGAGCCCATGCTTGAGGGGCTCGCAGGCAGCCAGCTTGGTGGGCGGTGGCCGCAGCTCTTCCTTGAAGCCCAGTGTAGGTGAGCAGGTGGGCGAGTATGCCTTCTGCAGGCCGGCGTCAAACACCGTGGGCGGGTGGGCCAGCGGTGGGAAATGCTTGCCATCAAGCTCGGGAGCACCCAGGCTGGGCGAGTCGCAGTGGAAGCCTTGGCCGAAGGTGCCATCGGAAGGCGTGGACGGGTTCATGGAGTAGGGTCCTATGAAGTCACAGGGGTCTCGCTCTCCCACGCCGAAGGCCCTCGACTGTGAGGGCAGTGGTGACATGCTGCTGTCCCCGCTATAGTAGTCCAGGCCTAGGTCAGGACTGTCCTGGAACAGTGGGTTGACCGGCTGTGGCTTGGGGATGAACTTGGCTTTGGCCGCTGCGCCACCTCGCTCCTTCTTGGCTGAGCAGGCCCCACCGCCCCGTCCACCTCGCGGCTGCCGGGGCCCAGTGCTCCGTTTGGATGGGTAGCCTGAGGCAGCGGCAGAGGCGGATGTGGGGAAGCCCAGATGTGAGGCCTCGAACAGGTCCACCTTCTTCCGCCGTCCACGGCCCGGCTTGGAGCTACTCTGAAAGAGGACACTCTGGTTCCAGTTGTAGCCGGGGGCAGATGATGCCTCGTTCCAGTCCATCATCAGTTTCTCCAGGCTGGACAGGCTCGACTGGCCCTCACTACTTGAGGCCTCGCTGTTGGCACGCCGAAACCCACCGCCACCAACCGGCTGATTGAACTGGGTGCTGTCGGAGGATGACTCGGAGAAGGTCTCCGACACAGCCGTCTGCTGCTTCACCTTCTGTGGTGTGTAGTTGGAGATGTCCAGGATCACGTTCGGCTCGCTGACGTGGCAGTCAAAACTGGGATTGTAGAGCTGACTAAAGGCCTCTGAGGCCCAGTCCAGGCCTCCATAGCCCTGCCGGAAAGGCCACTGAGAAGCCCCCGCAAACTGCCGACAGTTCTCGGGCGAGGGCTGGAAGGAGGAAGAGGAGGAGGAGGCGGCAGAGGCTGCAGAGGTGGCAGAGGCTGTGGTGCCCTTGGGCACCATGTAGCCACCGGGCGAGACTGTGCTGGCCCGGCTGTCACAGCGCAGGGGCGTGGGGGCTGAACCAGAGAAGGGGGTCCCCTCAGAGCTGTTGAAGAAGGAGGCCTTGCTTGGTGGCAGGCAGGGGCCCCCGGTAGGCGGTGGGGCATAGCCGGCGCTGTGGGCGCTGCTGGGTGAGGCAGGGAGGCTGTTGCCGCTGCCATAGGCAAAGCTGCAGTCCTTGCTGTTAGCGCAGTCCTGGCCTGTAAAGGGCTTAGCCGGGGCAAATACGCTTTGTCCAGCCCCGTAGCCACCATACTGGGGCAGGTAGGTGTTGGCAGGCGGGTGGGTGGTAGGTGAGCGGGCCACGGCTGAGGGCGGGGGAGCCAGCTTGGGGAAGGTCTCGGCTGCCCGGCAGTCTGAAGTGGCCGGAGTTAGCCCATAGCTCGCTGCCCGTCCTGGTGGGAAGGTCTGGCGCGTGGGCAGGACAGGCTGGAAGGAGGTGTCCGCCCCAGCCCCACCACTACTCACTGCCACTGGGCTGGCCTTGGCTCCCCGGCTAGGGAAGGTGGCAAGGCCCCGTTGGGCAGGTAGGGTGCTGGTGGGTGGCCCTGCATAGGTGCCTGATGCCTTCCGGGACTCTGGGCGAGAGGCTGAGAGGGCAAAGTCCAAGAGATCGGAGGAGTCATCCGAATCGAGCAGCGAGCGAAAGTAGCCGGTGAAGAGGTTTTGGCGCTCCTGGCTGAGCTCGGTCTGGCCTGAGGGTGCGCCCGTGCTGTAGTAGCTGCCACGGCCTGAGGCTCCGCTCTCCAGCCCAGTGGAGGCAAAGGCCCGGGCCTCGGTCCCCTGAAACCCACAGTTTCGGCCAGCTTGCCCGCCTGGGTGCCCATGGTGAGGGGCCCAGCCACCACCCTTATCTCCGGCCCACTCGGCACCTGCCTCCCCAAAGCCTGGGCCACTGGGCACCTGCTCTGGGAACAGAGTCCCATTCTTCCGGGACCGTCTCTTGCGCTTTGGCTTCCCAGTCACAGCATCTACCTCCCCCCGGCCCCGTTTGCGTGGGTGCCCCAACTCGGTAAGGCCAGGGCCCCCCACCCCAGCGGCTGCCACGGCTACCACCTTCTTTTTCTTGCCAATGCCCTCAAAGAAGTCACTGAAGGAGCATCGGGCTGACTTGGCCGCATGGCCCCCACCCCGGCCACCAAAACCACCTGCTTTGCCCCCACGCCGCCGGAAGCCCTGCACACGATGCAGGAAGTGGGAGATGCTCTGGGTGTCAGGGGCCTGGTGCACTGACTCCGGCTCACTGGGTGTCCAGCAGCGGGGTGGCGAGCACCGTCCAGCGCACTGGCTCTGGCGGTTCAGGAAGGCCAGCTTGGCCAGGACGTCTGAGTACTCAGCCTTGCTGTCGTTGGCGTCTGCCGCATAGGACGGCTGGGGAGATGCCAGCTTCTGCTTCCGCCGCCGTCGTTTCTTCACCTCTGGCATGGCCATGGTGGCTGCTGCCACAGTGGCTGCCTCGGCCGCCACCACAGCTGGCTCCTTGGGCTTGCCAGGACCCAGCAGCAGGTTCTTAGGAGGGCGGCCGCGCTTACGCTTAAGAATAATGGGCATCTCACCGGGTGGGAAGACCACTACCACGTTCCGCCCGTTGTTCTTCATCTTCAGCAGCGGGGTGGGCTCAGCTGACACACGCAGGCCTAGCTCCTTGCCCTCCACACTCAGGCTGCTGCTCAAGGAAGACACTTTGTATGTGGTCTTGTTCCGTCGCCCGAGCGATACGGGGATCTTGGCCATCTTCACCACCATGCGCCGCACGCCTCGGCACTTGCCTTTGCGGGTAGAGACCACTGGGGTCTGGGAAGATTCTGGCTTCAATTCTGGGACTGAGACCGGGCCTGGGCCTGGCAGGGCAGGGGGTGGAGGCGGCGGTGGCGGTGGGGGTTCGGCCAGGGCGGCTGCCAGCCCCGTGGGCATAGGCAGGGGCAGTAGGCGGCCCTCGGGTCCGGCGTCCGCCTTGCGCCCCCGTCCGGCTTTCCGCCGGCGACACAGGATCTTTGGCCTATCAGTACGCCGCAAGGCGTACTTGGGGTGACCCTCAGGCCCAGGGGGGCCGTGCGGTGAGCACAAGTCCAGGCGCAAGGGCTCGGCCAGTGGGCAGTGCCCCAGGGGCTGCTGGGGCTCCAGACGGCGACCTGGGACGTCAAGCAGCTTGGGCAGGGGGTCGAGTGCCTGGGGGTCAAGCAGCTGCGACTCCAAGGAGTCAGGCAAGGTGTCCAGGGCCTGGAGAGCCAGGCCCGGCAGCCCCAGAGGATCAGCAAGAGGTTGCAGGGGTGGCAGCTCCAGAGCTTCCCCGAGCGGCTCTAGTGCCTGCGGGTCCAGGAAGCGGGGCTGGGGGTCCAGGAGCTGAGGCTCTGGCTCAGGAGATGGTGGCTCGAGGGCCTGGGCCTCTAGCAGCTGGGCCTCTGGGCAAGTGAGGGAGGCCAGCTCACTAAGGATGTCGGCGTCAGCAAGTTCTGAGTAATCAGTGCTGTCCGGCTCAGGCTCTGGGGGCAGACCTGTGGCCACAGCCGTGGCTCCGGGACTATGGCCTTGGCCAGGCTGGGGACTATCCCTAGGCTCAGGCTCAGGCTCGTAGAGGGGGTGGCTGGGCCGCTCTGACTTGGCGTGTGGGGTGGCCCGCTCCTCAGGGCTACGGATGCTGTTGGCCAAACTGGGTGAGGAGAAGAAGCTGTATTGTAGGTCGCCGGGTGGCGGTGCAGGCGGGCGGCTCAGTCGGAGCCCACCACAGTCCAGGTGTACACCACTGTGCTGCAGGTCCTGGGAGAGGCGTGTCAGGTCCTTCATGATGTCAATCAGCTGCACTACTGGTCGCAGGTTCACCCGCCCGTTGTCCCAGCAGCGTCGGGAGCTGCTGCCGTCTCCGGCCGGTGTGGGGCAGCGGGCCTGTGAGACAGGACGGGCTGCCCGTGGGGGCAGCGGGTCGTCCCCCTTGGCAAGGACTGGTGGGCGCCGGGTGCTGGGGTCCCGGCGTGGGGGTGGGCGTGGGTTCTCGGAGAAGGCGTGGGTGGAGAAGGCCTTGTCGGGTGGGCTGGCAGGGGGCCGGGTGGGAAGCAGGGGCCGGGGAGTGGGGGGGCCGCCGGGGTAGTACTTGGGCTCCCGGAGGTAGTCAGGAGAGCTGCACACGGCACTGGAAGTCACCACCAGGCCCTGGGGCTTCACACGCATCCTGACCTTGTCCTCCACAGGCCGCCGGGCGGGGCCGGGGCTGACATGAGGGTGCGAGAAGCCGGGACCAGGACCTGCCAGGCAGGAAGAGCAGGAGGTCCCTTACTGAACACCTACATCCTCATCAGCTTCCCATATCCTCGATGAGCTCCTGGACCCCTCCCTCCTGAGGTCTCATCTCCTTACCAAGCTCCCATCCCCACCCCAAGCCCAATCCCCTTGCTGACTCACAGCCTTTCTCAAACCACCATATGTACAGCAAGCCCCTCATGGGCCCCAGTTTCACTTTTTTTTTTTTTTTGAAAGAGAGTCTCACTCCGTCACCCAGGCTAGAGTGAAGTAGCGTGATTTCAGCTCACTGCAACCTCTGCCTCCTAGTGCAAGCGATTCTTAGGTGTCAGCCTCCCAAGTACCTGGGATTACAGGCATGCGCCACCACGCCTGGCTAATTTTTGTATTTTAGTAGAGTCGGGGTTTCACCATGTTGGCCAGGCTGGTCTTGAGCTCCTGACCACAGATGATCCAACCGCCTTGGCCTCCCAAAGTACTGGGATTACAGGCATGAGCCACCATGCCTGGCCCAGTTTCACTTATTGACAGCTCATCCCCTTTGGAAATCTGGCTATGTGCTTAGGAAGAACAGGACCCCTGCCTCTGAGAGGGAAGCACATCAGCAGGGTGATCAAACTTAAGGAGAAGGCCAGGAAGCTCTAACAAGGGCACAGCCTTCCTGCTTCTTACCCCCAAAGGGCTCCAGGAGAACCCCCACCACTTACCCTCGGCTCTGCCGCCTGGGCTGTCACACTGGAGATCTCTGTGGGCAACAAGACAGGCAATAGATTTGAATTCCCCAAATGATCTAGTGGCCACAGCTCAACCCCTGCCCACCGGCCCGGCCTCCTCCAGGTACCACCCCGGGCTCCCTCAGCGCTCCATCCAGCGCAGACACCCGGCTGACCTGGAAGAGAGAGGGCCCCCGTGCCTGGGGGCTCTGCCAGTCGCTGGCTGTCAGCTGGGGGTGCTGTGGAGCAACTTCGGCCTGAGCCCAGGCCTCGGGGCGTGGACAGCGCCTGGAAAGGACCATCGCAGCTCAGGTTTAGTGAGCACCTACTGCGCGCCAGGTACTGGGCTGGAAGCTGTCCAGGCATCGTTTCATTTAATTCTTCATACCAATCCTGTGAGGTAGGGGCTATTAATAACCCCATTTTGCAGATGAAGAAATGGAGGCTCAGAGATAAAGTAACATCATTCATTCATACACTCATTAGTTATGAAGTACCTACTTTGGACAAGGACTGGACAGACAGACACTGATCAGATCATTATAAATTACTTAATTACTCGTGGGATAAGAGCTGCAAAGAAAAAGTGAAGATGCCTGAGGTCAGAGCAATCACACGGGGAGTCAACAACAATAAAAGTCCATAGTTTGGGGACATTTTCTGTTGCCAAACACTGGGCCAAGTGCTTTATATAGATTATCTCATCAAATTCCCCATACAAACATGAGATCAATATGATTATCTTCCCCAGTCTTACAGAAACTATCCCCTGGAAGATGGTAAACACCATAAAAGCAAGGATATCTGTCCTATTCACTGCTATATGTATTTCCCAACACTCAGAACAGCACATGGCCTAAAGCAGCATTTAAAAAAATGGCTGTTTGGCCAGGTGCAGGGGCTCACACTTGTAATCCCAGCACTTTGAAAGGCTAAGGCAGGAGGATCGCTTGAGTCCAGGAGTTCAAGACCAGCCTGGGCAACATAGCGTGACCTCATCCCTATGAAAATTTAAAAATTAGCTGGGCATGGTGGTGCACACCTGTAGTCCCAGCTACTCAAGAGGCTGAGGTGGGGGGATCGCTTGAGCCCCAGAGGTTCAGGCTGGCTGCTCTGAGCTATGATCGTGTCATTGTTCTCCAGCCTGGGCAGCAGAGTGAGATCCTTTCTCCAAAACATTAAATTTAAAAAGTTTGTTGAATGAATCAACAAACGAATAGGTACACAGAGCAATCAACCCTGCCTTTTCCCTTTAGGCTCTTTCTTCTTCTCCAGACCCAAGAAGGATGCTGAGGGAGGGACCCAAGAGTGTGAAAAGGGACATTCTCTGATCCTTCTTCCACCTTCATCGGAAAAACTCTGCCGCTCCATCCTACCTCTGGTCTTGTCCTGGCCCCTGCTACATCCTCTCAGAGCCCTATCTATTTCACCTTCATAGTATTTATCGCAACTATAACCAATTACTTGTGTGACTGGCTGTTTAGTGTGTCTCCTGCAACAGTGTGGGCTCTTCAGGAGCAGGGATCACGTCTGTCTTTGTTTATCGCTGTATTGCCTGACCCTAGGGCCTGGGCTATGAATGCTACATAAATATTTACCGATTGACTCCCTGAGCTGGTCAGGGCAGAGCTGGGATTTAGATCCAGGCATGTCTGACTCCCAAAGGAGCCCGAGGACTCAGGGCCATGGCTGATTCCAGGAGTTGGGATCTCAGGGAGCAGGGAGCTGAATGGACCCCAATACTGTGAGGGTCTTAAAGACTGACCTTGATGCCTGCCTAATGTTTGGCTCTGACCTAGTACTGGGTCACTGAGACCTATGTGTCAGAGACTCATGTAGACTCTCCCCACCTACCAGTGCTGTCATCCCACAGGAAGACTGCAGAGCTGTAGGGACAGGATAGAGTAGAAAGAGACACTTCTCTGCTCCCTTTTGGGGGATGGCGATTTGCAATCTACAAAGCATCTACCTACACATCTATGACCCACTGAATCCTCACAGCAGCCTGGGAGGCATGATTGATTATCCCCATGTTACAGGGGAAACTGGCTCAGAGTGGATGTGTAACTTGCCTGAAGTCACACAGTTGCTAAGTGGCAGGATTTCTAATTCTGCCTTAAGTCCAAAGCCTCCTTCCACTCCCAGCTCCTGTAACAATCCTTCAGCCACTTCTGAAAATGCTCCTTCTAGTGCCGTGGTCTAATTTAAGGCTGGGAGGAAACTTAAAATTATCTAACCCATTGGCTTCCAAAGCCTGGGCCTGGGGGAGCTGTGTAACATTCCAGATACCCAGGCCCTAGTCCAGGGGAATGTGACTCATAGATGTGAAGGGACATCTGGGAATCTGTATTTTTAACCAGCTACCCCAGTGGGTACACTTTCTAGTGCCATCTCATGCCCCTCCCATTTTACAGATGAGGAAACTGAGACCTGAAGAGGGAAAGAGACTTTGTCTGAGGTCACAAAATGGGACAGGAAGGGGCCCTTTTGTTGCCCACCCAGGTGGAACATCCCTCTATTCACTCTTCCTTCTCTCTCTGCAGGTTCCAGGCCTCAGCTGCTCCTCGTTGTCCCACCTACTGGTCCCACCTACTTTGCTCTCTCCCAGGCCTGGCTGTGGACCTGGCCCCTCCCAGGTCAGGATCTCTCTAGTCCAAGAACTTGGAGCACTGTTGCCCTCGCAGGGAGGACAGTGGGTAACACCCTCACAAACGAGAAAAGGGGCTCAGACTCTGGAATCTCCAAGTCCAATTTCCAATAGTGTGGTTGCGCCGTGGCTCCTGGCACCCACTTGGAGATGACCACCAGAAGCCCCCTCCCTCCCTTACTGAGGGTCAGGCTAGCTGAGCCTTCCCCACTCTGGAGACCTCCCAGCTGGGGCCTGAGGGTGTGATCTTGGCAGAAGAGAAAAACCTCCTCTCTGGTGGTGGCTTCTGTTCCATCCACCCGTGAAGACCTCTGGGCACGTTCTCCTGCCAGGCCTCCTGAGGCTGGCCACTGCTCTCTTTTGCAGCCTCCAGGATCTGAGGGAAGCAGCTGGCTCCCCTCCTCACCACACCCCAGCGGCCATTCTCTTGGATCCCTCCCAAGGGTACTACCTAGCCCTGGTCTGGGGACAAAGTCAAAGCAGTCCTTCTGTCTGCCTGTCTGCTGCTGGGTCAGTGTGTCTGAGCTCGCCCATAGGGACACCAGCCGGCTGGGAGGGGGCTGGGGGCCCCAACCTGCTGTGCACAGTGCCGGGAAGCGCCAGCCCACATCCTTGAGTCCCCAGCCCCACCCTCCCCGGCTGTGGCTGTGACCACCCCACCCCTTCCCCAGCCCTCCTTCCCCTCCCCCACCCACTGCCTCCCCAGGGGAGCCAGGCTGCCAGCCCCAGCTCTCACTTCCGGCCTCATGACCCTCTCTCCAGCTTGCACACTCCTCCTCCCCCACCATTTCCCTCCTAGCCTGGTTCGAAGGCCCTGGGATGTCCTCAAATGGGAAACACTGCATCAAAGGGGCCATTACTCCTGCTCTGAGACCTTCCCATCACCTCCTTTTTCCTCCAGCGGCCTTATCTCTTAGGATCTGCCCCTCGGGGACTAGTCCTCACCTCTCTCCACCTCCTTCCCTTCAGCCACCTACCTGCCCACACAGTAACAACTGAAGATCTTCTTTCAACCTGATCCCAGGAACAATATCATAATACAAATAACAGTGATGGCAATAATAATGGCAGCTGTCACTCATTTGGCATCATTTAAATAGAGGCACAGAGAGGTTAAGTTATGCCCTTAAGGACAAACAGCCATCTCACTCAATTCAGCTGGTGTCTGAATTTAGGTAGGGCTTCTTTAAATCAAACTGCTTCGGTGTCCAGAGATTCAGCCCCCTCCCATGCAGCCTCCAACTGTCCCAGTCCCAACCATCAGTTCTCATTCTTGACTTCTAATCTATCCTCCTCTCAGCTTCTAGTCACCACCTCCCACCAACCACCATCCAACTAGATGCACTACTCTCCCTCGCCACTAGGTGTCCCCTTGGAGCCACTGATGCCCCCAAGGGGAGCTGGCCCTGCCCCACCCCCTGGGGCCATCAGGGGCCCCCCCACAGCACAGCACAGCACTGCACACCCCACCCCACCCTACCCCCAGCCACACAGAGCTCCTTTGTGCAACCCTCGCCCACCCCCTTCCTCCCTGGAGCGGGGCACCTGGCAAGCAGGTCTGCCCTAGAACCGCCCCCTGCCAGCCCCCTGCCCTGGGTGCCAGGTGTGCGGGCGCCACCACCACCGCCAGCTCTGGCTGGACCCGAGGGTCACCCTGCCGGCGGCCCTCCCTTCCTCCCTCCGAGGTCACCCAGGGACTAAGCTTCCCGCCCTGCTCCGCCCCCCCTCCCCTCCTGCCCTTGGCCCTTGCAGACTCCCGTCCTTGTCTTTCCTTCTGTCTCCCGGAGGACTCCCCTCCTCCAGCCCCACTAGGCCCTCCCTGCAGCCTCTCACCCCCGCCCACCTCCTTCCCCAGAGAGCTCCTTGTTCCGCCCCCCCCCTCCCCGCCCAGGTCTGAAGAACTCCTCCTCCTGGAAAGTTGCTGCTGGAAAGGAAGTGACTTCAGCGATTTGGCCACAAGGCTGGGCACTGCTGAGCCCAGCTCAGCTCAAGGCTTGCCCAACCCACCTCCAAAGCACAAATGGAGCCACATGTGCACATCACTCCCACTGTGCATCCAGAACCCTGGGCACACACACAGACAGTGTACACACAGATCCCCGTGTGCACACACTGTACCATCGCAGTGTATTCAGATTTTGTCTATATACACATCTCTCCAGTGTACACTAGCACCCTTGCACACACACCATCCAGTGTGGCACACGCAGTATCCCCACACCTGCCCAGTACACACCCAGAATCCTGCATATTCATACTCCCATGTACCACATACACAGCGCTTGAACACTCCCCAGCCTGGTCCACTTATACAACTCTTGTATATTACCCCTTGTGCACGGAAGGACAGAGCCTGCCACACACACCTGCTTGCACACAAGCTTGAGTGCCCTGTACATTTACAGTCGGATACACACAGCCCTGTATCCTCCCACAGCTGTACCTCCCCACCCTTACAGTCCCAGGAGACTCCACCCCCAGACCTCAGGCCCCAGGAATGCTCCTTTGGAAGCTGGGTGGGGTCCCCAGGCAGGCTCAGCTCTAGGGAGCTTCCTGGAGCCGGAGGCTTCATGTGTCAGTTCAGGGAGTTGCCTCTGCAGGGCAGGGCAGCTTCACCTGGCTCCGCAGCTCCTGAGCCTGGGTGGGCTAACCTGGGCCAGGAGTAGTGAGGTGGGTCCTGCCACTGCCCCCACCCACCTCCCTGTCTTGCAAGGGCACCTTAGCATACCTGGGCTACCCAGGCCCCTCCCAGCACCTCACCTTGGCCTCCCAGTTCTCTGCTTCCACAGACTCCGGTAGAGAGGTGTCCTGGGGGGTCAGCAGCTGCACACATCAGGCACTCTGGTTTCCACCTCTGCCCTGAGTCCTGGTCATTGTCACAACCCCTTTCTCCTCCCAGTTCTCTCAGGTCATCAAGGCGCAGGGAAGAGTCCTCAGGCTAGGAGGTAGGACTCACTGTATATCCATGAGCCTCAGTTCCCCTTTCTGGATAATGGGGAGTTTGAGTAAATGTTGGGTTAATATGTTTTGATTCTGTAAAGAACCTCTTTTTGACCTAAGCTGGGAGGGGATCCCTGTTGGGACTGGGAGGCAAGTTCCCCTGATCCCCACTTCCTGGGGGTGGCCCAGGCCCAAGCCTGACTTCCCTGCACACTGTTACCTGAGCAGGCTGTGCAGACAGGCCCGGCTCAGCAGGAAAGGCCTGTCTTCATCAGCATCTCCAGGGTAGTCTCTGTAATGGCCTGAGCGTCGCCCCGCGCTCGGGGCCCTCTGCACATGCTCAGCTGGGTAGGCTCTGGGGTCCAGGCCGATGGCTTGACAATCAGGCAAGCTCCCATCTGTGGAAGCAAACACAACACCACAGAGATAAGCATGGACACAGGGTAAGCCAGCCAGACAGCAGGGTACAGAGGGACACCAAGCCGGGAGGCTCTCATACATTGAGTCCCATCCAGCTCCAACCTCACCCCATTATCCCACCAGGGAACTGTGAGACACTCTCTCTCTCTTTTTTTTTTTTTTTTAAAGAGAGATAGGGCCTCATCTTGCTTTGTGGCCCAAGTAGAAGTGCAGTGGCATGATCATAGCTCGCTGCCACCTCGAATTCCTGGGCTCAAGTGATCCTCCCATCTCAGCCTCCCGAGTAGCTGGGGCTACAGGCGTGCACCACCATGCCTGGCTAGTTTTTTAAAAATTTTTTGTAGGGACAGGGTCTCACCATCTTGCCCAGGCTGGTCTTGAACTCCTGGGCTCAAGCAATCCTCCAGCCTCAGCCTCCCAAAGTACTGGGATTGCAGGTATGAGCCACTGCGCCTGCCAAACCTGTTTCTTGAAATCCCAGGCTCCTACTGAGAAGCAGTGTTTTTGCACATCTATGTACACACATGCATATACACGCACATATACTATAGTGGAAGGAACCTGGCCTTTGGGAGTCAGACAGTCCTTGGCTCAACCTTCATAACTGTGTGACTTTGGGCAAGTCAGTTAACTTTTCTGGCTGTCAGTTTTCTCATCTATAAAATGGAAAAAGTAAGATCTTATGAATGGGGAGAAACATCCAGGGAAACTATAATGCAAAGAGCTTACTGACAATGTAGGTGTGAGAGGTGCTGTTCAGAGTGATGGTGGATGTGAATTTCCACACGGGTGTATATGCAGCTGGCATTTACCCATCTCCATCAGTAACTGGTTATGTCTCTTGTTTTCTTTAACCACCATGGCCCTCCTCACCACCCCCCTGCTTCCTGCCCATTTGTCTGCCTCCTCGAGGTCTGTACTGGAGCCCAGAGGGGGTCTGGGAACCAGGCCTCACGGACTGCTTACAGGTTCTGGTTGCCTGGGAGTTTGTATGTGTGTGATCGAGATTCTGCCTTTGCAAATGCATATCTGTCAAGGCTCAGCTGTCTGGGTAAATATACCTGCATGTGGGTTCCTGGGTCTATTTAGCCTCTCTGTGTGCTTCTCTGTATTTCTGTATGTCTGTGTGGGTACATGAGGGCTTAAGCATGTCTGTGTGTGGGATCACGCATTTGCTCAGTTGTGGCTGGTGTGGTCAGCTGTGTGTATGTGTGATGCCAGGTTGAGTGTGTGCCTGGATTTGGTGTCTTCAGTCATACATGTGGGTATGTGCACTTTTCATGTTTCTTCTATTCAGTTTTTGTGTGTGTGTGTGTGAGTCTAGCTAAGCCTGTTTGTATGCGTGTGAGGACACAGGGGTGCATGTGTACCTGTGTGTAGCCAGGTGAGCCCAGCTGTGGCTGGGTGTGAGCATGCCTTGGTGTGCACACGCTCTGCCTGGCTCTCTGCATCTCGCTGTGTCAGGAGCCAAACCGGCTCCTGCCTGTCTCAGAGCTCTCTGGATGTGTGTTTGGCAGGGGGTGGGGGCGTGCGGCTGATCCTCTGCTGTCCCTGCAGGTTTCCAATCTCGAGGCCTGTGACTGCAGGCACTGGTGTCACTGTGGATCAGTGTTCCCTCCCTCCCACCTCTGCCTTTCTCTGTGTTTTCAGGGTCATGGTGTGGTAGTGTGACTGGCCACGGTGTCCCTGTGGGTCTCCTTCACCATGGGTCAGTATGTGCTTGTGTGTGTGTCCATGCATGTGTGGATTTGTGTGACCTTATTGTGTCTGTGCACCACTGCGTGTCTCTGTGTATGTCAGTAGGTCCTTGTGCTATGTCATTGTATGTTTGTGCCAGTATGGCTGTGTGTCAGCGTCAACATGTGTGAGCAGGTCTGTGTGCCATGGTGTGTCAGCACAATGGTGCCCCAGTGTTTGTGTGGTACCTTTGTGAAGGGCTCAGTGTATGAGTGCGTGTGAGCATGCATGTGAGACACCCTTTGTGAGATGGTGTGTGTGTGTCTGTGTCACTGTGTTTGTGTGTGCCTGCTTCCCTCCTTCCTCCCTCTCCCTCCCTTCCTCTCTCTCTCTCTCTGTAGGAGCCAGACAACTCCCCAAGCCTGGATTAGGGACAATTTATCCACAGGCAGAGAAGGAGAATTCCAACCTGCCAGAGCCTCCCTCCTCTGATCTGTCCCCCCTTTCCCTGTGGTTGGGTGGGCACAGAAACACAGCCCGGCAGCTCCCAAGCCCTTGGGGAGTCCCCACCTTTGCAGCTCCCCAGAGGCCCAGGAGGAAGGAAAAGATGGAAATCTGGGTGGCCCCAGAGCCCTCCAGTGGGGGTAGACTGGCTGCCCCCCATCCAGGCCCCCACAACTCAGCTCATCTTGGCCCTGTTCTCCTACATATGGTGGTGGTGGGTGGGGGGAGTCTGCATGGGGTCTGCCTGGTCCTGGGGGTTGGGGGGACTTCAGGAGCAAAGCTGTCCTCAGCCCCTCCACAACCTGATACTCCCCAGCAGATAAACGTCAGGCCCCCACCCAGTGTAAATGAACTTCCAACAGTGCCCACACAGGCTGGGGGAGCCGCTGGGAGGCAGAGGACAGTGTGGTGCGGAGAACGCAGCAAGGAGGGGTGCAGGGGCTGGGCTGGGACTAAGGCTCCCTTCACGGTGCTCCAGGCGCAAGGCAGAATCACATGTTTCCCATTAGCTGCTCTGGCCTCCTTGTTCAGGGGGTGTTGGCTGGGGGAGATTTGTTCTGGTTGCAGACACCAGCCGAGACCACACAAGAGAGAGAGAGGAAAAGACAGAAGAGAGAGAGCGTGCCAGAGGGAGAAAGGAAAAGACAGAGAGGAAGAGGGAGAAAGATACACAGGGAGACAGAGAGACATGGCGAGAGAAACAGAGACAGAGAGACAGAGAAAGACAGAAACTGGGCGATGGGCAAGCACAAACACAAAAGCAGAGACGGACTGGTGATGAGGGGCTCACGGAAGAAGGGAGATGGAGAGGAAGGTAGAGAGAGCTGGGTGAGACCTTGTCGGAGGCTGAGGGGAGGGGGTAGCTCAGGCCCAGAGTGAGTCTGAGGCCAGTAAAGACCAAGGAAGAGCCCCAGAGGGAAGAGAGGCATGGGGGAAGTGAGCCAGGCAGACATGGGAAAGGCAGGGGAGAGCAGGGACCAGGGATTTCTACAGGAGCCTGAGAAAGAGGCGGCGAGGCACAGGCAGGGTGGGCCTGGCAGAAGGGCCGAGGGGAGGCCTACGTGGGCAGCAGACAGGCCGGAGCTGGGATGTGTGGGCAGGGGGAGTGGACACGCCCGAGCTGGCCGGGCGGGGGCGGCCAGCGTGCCGAGCCTCCCGCCTCCTGACCCTCGAGCCTGGGAGAGATAACAGGCCGGAATAGTGCTGACTTGCGGTTCAGAAATCCAATATCCTCCCCGGTGCACTGATCGACTACCTGAGCTCCCGACCCGCGCAGAGCTGCCCCGATTAATCCTGCGGCTCCACAGCCTTAATTAGTTTAACAGTTTCAGGGGCAGGAGAGGCAGGAAATAGGGTCCCCAGGCCCTCAGGGACACAGCTCCCCCCTCCCCATGCAAACCCTGCCTGGTGCCCCACCTCACACACACCTGTCCTGGCCCCAAAGGCCCTTCTCCACACCATCTGAAGAATGCTGGGTCCCTCCGCCTGGGGAACAGTCCCACGGGCTGGCATATGGGTGAGAGGGTAGATCATGTGGGACTGAGCGCCCCCCAACCCGCACTTGTCCCTCTGCTCAGGGCCCCAAGCGTTTCCTCTGGCCAGCCCTTTGGGGCTCTGTGGTCTGCATGGGAAGGCCCCACCAGCTGCCAGCCCCATATCACCAGGCAACATGTCGTCTCTTTAGAGTGAGACACGAGCTCCCAAGTTACTGACAACTTCCCAACAGCATGAGAGAATCACACATGCCACTCCCCACAACAGCCTGCGACGGGCACATGGTGACATCTCACACACACAACAGCCAGAGACAGGCGCACAAGTCGGTGACAACTCTCCTAACGGGATGAACTAAGCACATAACCTGTCGCTTCCCCCAAAGCATGAGATGGGCGCACCTGACACACCTTCAATAGCATGGGGCAGGCGTCTGTCACCCCGCACAATGGCATAACTGACATGCAACCAGGCACCCCCACACCCACTAATAGGATGTGAATGCACAGAGAACCTGTTACACAGCTGACCAAGACACACACACAGGCACACACACACACAACCTGTCACACAGCTGACCAAGACACACACACACACACACACAAACATGCACACACAGAGAACCTGTCAGTTGACCAAGACACACACACACACACACACACACGTGGGACAAGTCCCATCTTCCAGGTGTAAGGAAGGGATGGAGCTCTCCACCCACCATACAGCATGAGGCAGGGACACAACCTCGCCCCTGCCTGGGAATCCTCCCTGAAGACTGTGGGACGGGTACACAACATGTCACCTCCCCGGCTGCCTCGGACAGGTGACAGCCCACCTCACCCCTCCCCTATCACTGTCATCAGCCTGGGTAGTGCTGTCCCTCTGCCTGCAGAGGCGTCACAGCTCACAGGGCATGAATGTCACCCCAGCACTGCCAGAGCCGGGCACAGCCACACGCTGCCCCAGTGACAAACACCACTGGTCCCAGAGAAGGTGAAGGCACACAGGGCTCTGGTGTGACCTTGGTCTCTGGACACCAGGAGGGGAGGTGCTGTGGCTTCCCGCCCAGTGGCGGGTGCTGGGGGAGAGGAGTGCTGGGGAGGAAGCTGCTGGTCACACGGACTACCTGGAAATGCCACCTCCCCCAGCCCCCACTCCACTCCATTGCCCCAGTGACAAAACAACTACCGGTCCCAGAGAAGGTGAAGGCACACAGGGCTCTGGTGTGACCTTGGCCCTGGACACTAGGAGGGGAGGTGTTAGGGCTTTCGCCAGTGGCGGGTGCTAGGAGAGGGAGTGCTGG